AAGAGGCTTGGTCGATTTTTATTAAAATTTAATATGCATATTCAGTAGGTCTTAGAATAGGGAATTATCTATTATTAATCCCGCACGGACGAAGTCGCGGGCGACAGCTAGTTATATTGTGTTATTTTCGGACTCTGATGTATATTTGTGTTATAATCATACATAATTCTTTGTAAATTTGCAGAAAAAAAATTAAGAAGTATTATCGTAAAATTATTAAGCATTTAAATTTTCTTTTTGATATAAAATTGTTAGGATGATTTAATTTACTTGAAATTCCTTAAAGTTACGAAATAAACGCATCATTGAAAAATCATACAAAAAGTTTTCCTGGCTTGGGAATCGAACTCTGGATTGGTAGAGCAACAACTCAAAGATACGCTATTCGCTAGATAGTCGTCAAGTGTTTTAATAAATAGCTGTAATATTTTCTATTTATCTAAAAAGCTTAGTACGCGGTTTGTGATCGGCATTAAATGACCAATAAGGAACAAGTTTCAGAACAATTTCGCTGTAAAATTGAACGCGAAGCTAATTGAATAAGCTAATGAAGTCTTACACAAAGTTTAATGAGGAAGTCGGCTCCACGGTTTCGTAGTTAGAAACTAATTTCCACTTTGTCATTATGAATAATCGATTGTTCTAGAGATGTTATAAGTTTTTAAATATTAATCAGCGGCGCAGAGTTATATTAAGTATATACAATTGATGATTTGTTTATTTTTCTTTTAATATACACTAGCTGTCGCCCGCGACTATGTGCGCGTGAAATTTAAAAAAAAATCTTCCAGACTATATTCTTCATGTGGGCCAAATTTCAACAAAATCCGTTATGTCATGCCAGAGATGCCTTCAAACAAACATCCATCCATCTATCCATCTAAACATTCGCATTTATATAAGTAATATAGTAAGATAATTTGTTTGCGTTGTTTTAGATTTTGTAGTAAAGAATCATATCATAGTTTATATTACCTACAAGTCAGTACAAAATATACTGCTATCTCAGTTTTATTTAGGAGGAAGAGAGGGATGCCAATATATTCTTGTACGATGAACTCACGCCAATTGTTTTGAGTGACAAACTTAACACAATACAAACGGACTAGAATTTTTTTTCAATTACATTGTTGGAGATGCATTTCGAAAAATTCAAAATAAAGATCTTTCTAAAAGTCCATATTGCTGTGTCTTTTGACTGTGTCGTTACTTTTAATCACATTAAGGAAGTCGTCACAAAGAAACTCTTAAGAAATTGCACACATCATGCTATCTCTTAAAGAAATTCGTCTTGTAACATTGCACCAAAAATGTTAGAGTACGTAGCATTTTTCTCTCTGAAATAAATTTTAAGGTAACATTAATTTAGATCACAAGATTGGATAAAGAAATAAGTATAATCCTTTTATATCGTCTTAATGTTCTCACGATCGAATAAAGCATTTGATAGAAGAGAAATTTGTACGTAGTTCACGAACAATGGTACCTAATATGTCTCATTCGACGTCGGTTTGCAATGAAATAAAAATTTGGCGTAGCAATTTGTCCCCACAACGCCCTCCTTTGTGGGAAACTTATATACCTACATCGTCAAACAAGAGCTTTTGTCGATTTAAAAATGTTGATATGACATACTTTCGAACTGAGTCTTTTCACGAATGGAATACCTTCTAATGTCACCGTAAAATTGTAAGTATAGTTATATTTTAATCCGACTGTAATCTGTTGAAAAATTGTAACTTTAAATCATTTGTAACTTGACTTATCTTTCTTCTTCATATTAATATTAAAATATTAATAAACCGATTCAAAATATATTTGAAGCGTCTAAAATAAAAACAGACTACAGCATTTTTAATCTATTTTTTAACAAAGAAAAAGTTTGTCAAGTATGATTGGCTGTTAGGTTCTTTACAATTCAAATTCTTATTAAAACGTATACTGTACAAGGAAATGAAAATCAGAGATAATTGGATATGACAAGAGTTTTGGGAAAATATATGTCGGAAAAATGGCGGACAATGACCTTGAGCATACGGAGTAACATTTAAAATTAAATATTATGTAAGTCTACGTAATCGTACTAATATTATAAACGTGTATGTTTGGATGGATGTATGTTTGTTTTAAGATATCTCGAGAACGGCTGCATCGATGAAGTTTGGCATAGATAAAGAACATAGTGGACAAGAACTACTAATTAAGCATTTTTTTTAAAGCCGCGCGGGATAAGCAAATAACTATTAAATTATTATACTCAACTGCAAGAGGATTTATTCTTATTTTCTGTCTTTTATCTTGCAAATTTACTATAGTAAATGGGTATAAGAAACAAACATAATAGAAAAAATATAAAAGCGTTACAACACAAAAGGCTTAGTACACATTCTAAGTAATCAGACGCCCTATAGAATCTAAAGGTACGAAGTACATCCGGACATTGTATTCGATACAAAGGAAATTTCAACATGAATAAGTACAATAAAAACATACTTTTGTAACCATATAAGTGTTGCGATATTGAGAGCAATCATTACGAAAAAATCTGATCTTTACTCATCATCATCAGCTCAGTATACGTCCACACCGAGGGGCTCGGAGCCTACCCAAAGATAAGGGTGACTAGGCCATAGTAAACCACGCTGGCAAAGTGCGGATTGGTTGACTTCACATATATCTTTAAATTTCTTCTCAGACATGTGCAGGTTATATCGCCAGTTTTTCCTTCACTGTAAGAACCTCGAATAAATGTTCATATGTAAATCGGAAATCGAAAAACACATTGGTACAAGGCGGGATTCGAACCCAGGACCTGCAGATTGCACGTCAAGTGCTTGACCCCTGAGCCATTGACGATCTTTACTACACTAATATTTTTAGACGAAATGGTTTTCCAGTCCTTCCTAGTGCTTTCCAATTCCTGTTTTCTTTATTCAAAAAAAAACTTTGTACAAAAAAAATAGGTTTTTTTCCAAGAAACATAATGTGAAATTAAACTTGTAATTTACAAAAATGGCTAAACGTTGCAAACGATTATGTAGATTGCTAGTACATTGTGTTACAGGTAAGGGATCTTCTTACACTGGGCCAGGGGTAACAAACATTTTAGATTTTAATAAGATTACAAGGCGAGATTCTAAAACGACACAAAGAAGTTTTGCAAAGAATCTCTTTATTAATGTTTGTATTTGAATTTTATAAGTGAATATTTTTTTTGTAACATGAAATCCAAACCGATTCCAATTTGAAAAACAACTATTTTACACTATCGACGATAAAACTTAGGTGTAAAAGACATATTTTAAAATTAAATTCATTTAATCTGTAAAAGAATACTTAACACAAATAATATACCAATGTGTATTTCGATTTACAGCGGTACATTTATCCGACTTTCTTACAATGAAGGAACAAATCGTGATGAACAACATATCTGCGAAGAAATTCAAAGATTTCTGTGAAGTCAACCTACTTACTGCAGTCATTCTCAAGAGCGTCGGTGGCTCAGGGGTTAAGCACTTTCTTGTGATCCACAGATCGTGGGTTCGAATCTCGCCATGTACCAATGTGTTTTTCATAAGTTAATTTATCCGAAGTCCGATGCAACCTGCATATATCTACGAAGAAATTCAAAGATTTGTGTGAATGCAACCCACACTGAGCCAGCATGGTTGAGTATGACCTAGTTACACCTAACTTAGGGTATGCTCCGAGCCCCTCAGTGGGGACTAATAGTAAGCTGATGATGAAATAGTGTACACAGTGTGTTAAATCAAAAATGTATTAGGACTAGTGAGTGTTAAATAAATTAAAAGATTTAATTCTGTAAGATCAAAACAATTAATTAAAGGAAATAGTGAAAACGATAGATTACGATTTTTCTTTGCGTGTAGGGAAACTATCAAAAGTGAAATCGTTTTTAAAGACCTGCCTGATTGCTGAACATTCATTCAATTAGTGCGCGCGAACCGATCATTACGAGTATTATTTTAAAAGTCGATCACCAAAATACGTTGAGCTCCGATAACTGCCGTGACGTTTTTCACTTATTGAATAAACATTAAATATGCAGGTCATTTGAGCTGGTTGTTATTTAAAATTGTCGATGTTTGACTGATGAATTAATTATTTATGAATGGGTGTTAATTTCTTTTTGAATTGCATCTAATTTTTTATAGAATATTATGAAAAGGTTGTTTTCTTTTGTGTATTATTTTTATATGTGTTTTATTGTTCTTTATATCAAGCTTTAAACTTGGGTACTTATAGTGAGCTGATGATGATGATTCAAGCTGATTAAATCCAAATGGCATAATAAAAGGGGAAGAAAATGTTAATATTCTTTTACTGAAAATAACTATCGATTTTCTAACATTGTGTTGTGTCAAAAAGTTACGCACATCAACTTACCGAGTGTCATAATATATCAAAATCTAGTAGTCAGTAATTGGACTTAAATGGGGTCAAACTTTTCGCATATCTGTGAAACTAGAAATTTATGTGGGACCACTTACGTGAAGTTAGTAATAGCTTTCTGCTAAATTTGTTTCTGCGCAAATTGAAACTTTTACATTTTAATTTATGAGCTTATATTACTTATATTTTGCCTTTGTACAAAACATTTCCTAATAATAGGAAATATCTTAACTTCAAAATTAGCATCAAAATAGAAAAAATAATAAGTCAATTTCAATATTTTAACGTTTCTATCAATGTTAAAAGAAAACCAAATACTCAGATAGATAGATCTTTATCCATGATCAATGTTTAGAACTTTAACCAGATGTGAAGAACGAATATTTTTTTAAAAAACAATATCTCCTTCAAGCAAACTTCTTTTAAGAAAACCTCAATGGGTATTAATAATTACATTAAGGTAGCCATTTAAAGCCTTTGTAATATTTTTATGGATAACATTCTTCGTAAAATCTTACAACGCATGCTAATCTTCGTATAATTCAACGGTCTCACTTGTCAACTGCGCGCACGCAATTAAGAGAGCAATTCCCTTAGACTCTTGCAGACTCTATATCAGTATAACAACAGCTACGGGACAAATAGGACGTTGTCTGTGCTCTGTTTAACGTTGTGCTTTTCATTCAGTTTGATTACAGACTGTGACATATTGTTTTGTGATGGCATTGAAATATACTGTGACTTTAGGCTTGTTCGCGCTGTTTTTAGGTAAATTCTTTTGTTTGTTTTGGTTTGAATAGAAAATGTTATGTGGAGTTTAATTATTAAGCTTTTATTTGGGTGATTAGCATATAATTGTTTGACATTTAAGTTTTTGTGATATTACAATTAATTTTATTTCAAACACTTATGTTGTTGAAATGTTTATGTAAAAATTACCAGAAGAAAGAAGAAGAACACTGGTATTATTTGAATATTAAATAATTAAAACATAAAAACTTAATTTAAAAAAGTTTTCACTGCGAAAACATCTACAAAATTTTTGTCATCTCTATTTTCAAAGTCAGAAGGATGATGAACAAAATAAAAAAGGTCCAACGGGAAAATAAATCCCATTCAGCCAATTAATCTATAGGCCGATTGGTCCAACGGGAAACACCCGTAACATTAGTAATCCACAGTGATATTCGCACATTTTATATTATCATAAATAAACGCAAGCAATCACATTAATGTAAAAAGGAAACCTAAGAATCATCTTAGAATATCAAAGAAAAGAGATTAGATTTTTTCTTTTAACCTATAATTCTTTGTATCATGTATACAGAACCATTCTCCCGATATTAAAGCCTCAGTTAACCTTTAGTCTTGCATATTTTTCTCACAGTAAAATAGACTTGCAGATGCTGTTGTTAATCATAAGCAATTGGTAGCAATTAGTTAATGGCCCGAATGGTACTCATAAAAGGGACGCCATAACTTTACTTATTGTTTTGAAGAGGACATTAAAAACATTGAATTGCTTTAATAAAATAAACGAATCTTTTGAGCCTTCACGACCTATTAAGAGACTATTTTTTTGTTTTTTTTTTCATGTTACGATAAGCTTTATTAATATTTTATTTGTAAAATAACTCAGTCATTTGTTATGTCGAGAGATTTTAAAACAGATGAGTTTTTTTTTTTAAATTAAGATATACTGGCTGATTTTAAATTTTAAATTAAGAATAAAAATAAGTAAAAGTTTTTTCCACAAATGTTTATTCATACCATTGCTCGAAAGTTTATTTTTTTTAATTTGTAAACATATTTAGTACATAGATACATACAGTTTTCGTCAGAAACGAACGATGATATAGAGATAATTCTTATATAAACACATTTCATACATTCATACATGCTTAGAACACTTAAATAGGAAGAGGAAGATCTCATCACTAGAATTAAGGACCTCCGGATAAAAGCTGTACACTTAAAAAATCTTGCGAATCGAAAAAAAATACCATAGTATAAAATAATGTTAGAGAAAGAAAAAAATTACCATACACGCTTAACTATACAATTTATTCATAATGAAAAAAAAAGTGAAAACTATATTTAACACCTATTTATAATAGGCATACAATCCTATCTGCTTTTTTACATCCGCAAATTAAACATGTTGACTAATCTAAATATATAAAAGAAAGTCGTGTTAGTTACACTATTTATAACTCTAAAACGGCTTTACCGATATGGCTGAAAATTGGTGAGGTGGCTTAGAGCCAGGAGACGGACATAGGATACTATTTATTCATTTTTTTTTCTTTTATGCCTTGAAAAGTTGCTTTTTATTTAACTTACTAATATTATAAATGCGAATGTTTAGATGGATGTGATGTGGATGGATGGGTGGGCTACAGAATTAAGTTTTTTATATATCCACGCGGACAGAGTTGCGAGCGACAGCTAGTAGAAAATAAATGAAAAATGACAAAATGTCACTTTTGTAATGTCTCGAAACATATAATCAAATACAAAATAAACATTAAAATGATTGCTTCTAAGCAATTGTATTTCATCTTAATATATTCTAGTAACTAAGGTTCATTGCCATCCTGTGATGCGGGATCATATTACGATGTATGCACTTCGGTAATTGCTTTTCATTCCCTTAATTATCGTAACGACAAGCGTATCCAGTCTCGAAGTCAAAGATAGGATGATCAATGTAACTCCCTAACCGTCCCTAACCGTAGTTTTCTACTGTTACCGTTGGTTTCTGAGGCGAAACCCCTTCAAAACATATTGTTATGTCAAAGATTTGGATTATATTTTTATACATATTTTAGTCTCGGAAACCAAGTCTTCAAAAACATACATTTCTAAGAACCTATAGCTAGTAAAAATGATAATTCCAAAAAAACTAGGATTTCTTTTTATCAAGTTTTTCATTCATTAATTCCAGTTACGTTAATCTGATAGAGATTAATATATTTTATTTTTTATTTATTCATTTTACAGATACTCACTCTTATCCATCGTAAAATTTATTATTTTATTTCTACGGTTTTTATAAATATAAACTAAACGCGAAAGTTTGGATATATGGATGTTTGTTACAAAGTATCTCTGAAACGGCTCAACGGATCATGATTAAATTTGGCACAGATGTAGAACATAGCCTGGAAAAACACATAGGCTACTAATTAATTATTGATATATTTTTTAATTCCCCGCGGACGAAGTCGCTCGCGACAAATAGTAATGATCCTTAATAGCCTGCTCGTCTATCACTCGCGTTTGAAAATATGTTTTAAAATAAATTAGCTGTCAACACAGCAATTGTACAGTCATATTTCTTCCGCCCCTCACGATCTCTACTATCAGAAGAGGCGACGTCCTAAATATGGTACATTAAAGTATCAAGGCGCGCACGACCGTCCAATTGAGCATATTAACTGTACTCTTGAATCTTGAGCATCAAGTGATATGCTTATAGCGTGACTACTTGATTTCCAGCGCTAATGTTACGAATAAAACGCATAAGAACTTATTCCGCACGTCGTTTAAAAGCTTATATATGACTATCTATGCCGTGTTATGTGTAAATTACGTTTAAAACTTAATTACAATATCATAGGATAAATACTTATATACTGAGATTAGCAGAAATTCGAGAAAAAATTCATATCTCGGTTTTTGGACAAAATCTCGAAGTATACTTTTCAAGCATCTTAAATAGAGTAAACACATAAGCTTTGAAATATTTACCGTTGTCATAGAATTGATTTGCATACTAAACAAGCGTAATGAAAGTGTTTTATTATCATCATGGTAATAAACGTATGACGCGCGCGTGTTTACGATTTATTGCGTACTCAAACAATTGTTTTAAAGATGGGGCATGAATAGACTCATTCGAGTGATCAAAATGAAGTCCTTAAGTTACAGTAAAATTAAACAAGATATGATGGCACATTCCCCTTTCAAATATTTGATAATATTCTTAATTACGAGCTCGGTGACTCTGAGGTTAAACCACGTAATCTGCCGGTCCTGGATTCGAATCCCGTCATGTGCCAATGTGTTTTTCGATGTACATCTCTCCGACGTTCTTACGGTGAAGGAAAACATCGTGATGCAACCTGCACATATCTGCGAAGAAATTCAAAGATATGTGTGAAGTCAACTAACAGTACTGGGCCAGCATGGTTGGCTATATATACTATGGCCTAGTCACTCCTAACTTAGGGTAGGCTCCGAGTCTTTCGGTGGGGACGTATAATGAGCTGATAATAATTGTTAATTATGAAAATAGAATTTATTAAAATGAAAACTAATTTATTGGCATGTTAACTTCAAATCCAGCCATTTTAAATACTAAAATTAGCTATTTGTAAATTAATTTAACACATGATTGATTATTGATTAAAATAAATTGCTAATTTGATACGATACTATTAAAAGTACCGACTTTAACTCGGAATAACTCGGATTATATATTTGGTAGTAAATTCTTCACATTTTTAGTAGGCGTTATTTATTAATAGCCCGACAAAACCTTTAAATTATTTCGACCCACAATTTAATGAAATACTTAATGTAGGTTGTCTTAAATATATATAAATAACAATATATTTATTTAGATTTTAGGTAACTAGTTAAGAGTTACTATTATAAATAATTTAGTTTATTTTTGGAACTGAGCATACTAAAGGTAATATGAACAATCGAGATTATATTTTAAGATTTACTGAAATAAACAGCTCACTATACGTCCCTACAGAGGGGCTTGGAGTCTATTCTAACGGGTGACTAGGCTATAGGTAACCACGCTAGCCTAAATTGTTTGGTTGACATCAAACATATCTTTTGGATTTCTTCGTAGATAAATGTAGGTTGCATTACGATTTGCTCTTTCATCATAAGACATCGGATAAATGTATTATACATATGTAACTAGTAAATCGAAAAACACATTGGTACATGTCGGGATTCGAACTTGCGAACTGCGGATTACAAGACAAGTGCTTAACCCCTGAGTCACCGACGCTCCTGAGAATTACGAGTACATTTGACTGCAGTAAGTTTTTGGATAAATTTTAAATAATATATTATTACATAAAAAGAATAAAGTATAAATTCTCTGCTATCTGTGTTAACGGAATACCAGTAGGACAAGAAATATATTTCCCATGTATAAAATGTTTTTTTTTTCATTTAACGTAGACGCAATGCAGTCGTTGTTTACACTATTTTATGACTTTATTTAAGTTAGTAAATTGGTTCGCGTGGTCACGAGTGGATTAAACAATTAATTATGTAAATGCGAAGGTATGAACAACAGTTTATAAGCATGGGTCACGCACGGGCGTCGCGGTGCAGTGGAAGCGAACCTTAACGTGTGCTGGGTGTGTTGTCACATTAATTAAACGGGAATTACACTAAACAATGTGGAAAAATAACACCGGCCAGCTACATATTAAATGTAAACAAGCGAATGCTACGTATATAATTCACATGAAACTGTAATTAAAGAAAACGCTTTGTTTGTTTTAAGCTGTTTTTAGCAAAATATTCTTAACCAACCAGTAATAAAGTAAAAGTATTTTTTTTTAAATCTTACATTTCTTAATAGATTTTCAGTTAAATATTGGTTTTGTAAAACAAAGATAAAAGATGAAATGTGTTTCCACAAGTTATTTTATACAATAAAATTAAATATGAAAATATTTTGTTGTATTTTTTTCGGTATATTTCCAGAAGTAGCAACAGAAGGAATTCATATAAATATAACTAGCGTTTGGAAGCCGGACTTCGGATGGGAGGTGACTTGCATGTGGGAGACACCACCAAATGACACCCTCCAGTCGGTGCGATTGCAAAATAATGGACAGCAGTTCATGATCTACAGACCTGAGGCAAGTATTATTTCTAATGACTTGAGGCAATTAATTCAACTGACCTGAGGCAAGTTTTGTTCAACGTAAACGAGGCAAATTTTACTTCCTATTGACTTAAGGCAAATTTTGTTCCTAAGCTAAATTAGTTGTCATTTCCTTCACCTGCACAACAACTTACTCCTCGCATATTGTTTCTTCTATAATTAAGTGATACTTTTGTTAAGTTCTACAAGTCATTCCAGTGAGAACCGAGAGCTGTTCTTCAGATACATATAACAAACATCCATCCATCTAAACTATCGCATTCATAATATTAAAGTAAAATAGCTTAAAAATCACCTGCCACCTATTTTATTTGCAACTTACACGTAATGGAACAGCTCATTTATATCTTTTTCTACAGATACACGGAGCATCTAGAGCGGAAGCGTTCAGAACACCAGAGAACGTGATGAGCGTCGATTGTACGTTAACCGCGACAAAGGGTCGCAAAGGGCGTTGTGTCCTCACAATCGAGCCCTACCAGCCGCCATCGAGTGATTTCACGTACACGTGTGAAGTGTCAGGAGAGAGGCCGACCTTCATGATTGAGAGAATGGATTACGTTGTTAAAACCATTGGTGAATAATTTTACTTACGCACGCACTCGTTTCCTTTCCATTGTTGTAATTTTTATACAAATTTTTGACGAACTAATTCATCGTGTATAGCTTAATTTGATGCAGTCTTATAGAGGTGTTTGCGTCTCTGATCAAACTATGTGTAACATCAACAAAATATTTTTTTGAGACCAAGAAGAAACATACACTTTAAAAGCTAATTCATATTTAACCGTGATATAATTCGACACAAAATAACTTATTTATAGACAGAAATTATCTCATTTATTACTCTATGACTTTTAACCTTAGTAACGTAAACAATAACGATATGTATTATATTTAATCTACAACTTCGTTATACGTCAAAGCAAGTTATAAAATTACTTGTTTATTTTATTTCTTTAAATGTCTGTATAAATTCGTATAGTACCACCAAGCAGTGCGGAATTGGAATACAAGAAATATGATGAAGTTTCTCCTGGTCGTGTTATGATGAACTGCACATCTTCTGGTTTGCCAGCACCGAACTTGCAGTGGACTGTTGCCAATGATAAGGTAAAGATACAAGCAGTAGCAGCGTCAATATAGGGCGAGGGAGTGGGCGCCAGGCAGAGGAGGCAGTCCAAACGCCCCTTTTTATCCGACTCTAGCACCCGCGATACCCTCTAAGATAGCATATCTCTGGAAGATTTCCCCTGGTACCAAAAAAGTGGCGCAGCAAAACCCATCACCCAGGGCGCCGGAAATACTTAAAGCGACCCACACTAGAAATGTAAAATTATATACATAAAAGGTCTTAATTTATACCTAGCCTCAGAATGATTAAAATTCAGATAACAAAATACTTTTAGCATACGCGGGTACGAATTTGTCAGATGTAATGTATCAGATAAAGCGTTTTAAATTAAACGTAACGTTCACGACAGGCGTTAGGGTTGCCTTTTATCATTACTTTCTGCTCCCTAATTTATTTTCTCGCAAACCATTTATCAAAGCTCATATTTGTATGCCATATTATTGTGACGTGGTAAATTTGATAAAAAAATATATTCCGGATTAGTGATATTTGTCGTATTAAATTTTTATTAATCGTTTAAAGATAGCATCAAATAATTTGTACATTTTTTTTATTTTTTTTTTCTCCGAAATACAAATCGCTTTGGAAATGACAACACTTTCTACTGTTCTAACTAATGACTTCGATTTTATCAGAACTGGACAATTTAGGTTAAAAGTCCAATAAAACTCATATTTTTTTAATATATTTTTCACTAGAATTTTGTGTTTAAGTACTTTTTACTATATACTTCGACCTTGGAACTCTTACTTTGGATTCGTCAATAGATTACAATAAATGTTTACGTAGTTTTCAGAAGATTTAACATGTTATTAATTTAACCGTAAGATTACACTGCCCAAAAAACATCCCCCCCCCTTTTATCTAAAAAAACCTAAGTTGACAGTATTGTTATTTGGGGTATGGAAAACCACGCTAACATTTTTCTATCACACTGTTGTCCACTTCTTAGCTCTGCTTACAATAAATTGTTGACAGGTCCAAGCTGACTTTACTGGAAGATTCTGGAATAGGACAACAAAGTTATGGCATGTTTGGTCTTTCTTTGCATACACTCGAGCAGATCCTTCAACAACCGTTACATGTAGTCCTGAAGTATTAACACATGAAGAGCTTCTCAAAGGAACGCCTGCTACATTTAGTTCTGCTAGTATAATAGGTATGTTTTTGTTTATTATCCCCAAGCACATTGTAAACGAGCAAAACTATTTGCCAAATTGTTTAATAGTATGCTGGGAAATATGAAAAAAAGGATCTTAAAATGTTTTGTAGTTGATAAATGTTTGATGAATATCTTTATCAAAGAAATATGAACGTTTACTGGAAGATTAGATGTGATAAACACAGTAATTGATGTAACTCTTATGCACACTTCAAAAGCTTAGTTATATTTTAAAAAATCTCACATAGTAAATCATGTTTAGCGTAATTATCGTCTAGTCGTCTTTAATTTATCTTGCTAACGTTGTCTCCTTTTCGTCGCATTTTCGTACTTGACGCTAAATTGCCAGAAAATCGTTGACGAGACAAGACTGGGATTTGTAGTAATTTGTGAGCTAATTAGATACTAACTTCGAAGAATTTACTCTAAGGTTTTCAATTCAACAGCATAATTTAACTTAGTCATACAATTTTTTAAATATACTTTTTTCTAATGTTACTTTTTAGCAACACAATTTCGGGATTTCAAGAAGTTTGGAATTGGTAGATCGGATAGTATTTGGTCAGATCTCTGGTCTAATCATGTTGGTTACCCTTGACATATAAAATGACCATATAGTATCTCTATATAATCTGTATTTGTCTATTGTTATCCGTATGTTCCCACAGTAACAACTCATAGAGATAATTGTTTTTTTTTTCAGATTCAGCCAGCACTTTGATAGTGATGTTTACAATTATGATTTTTCTTCGGTGACGTTTGATTTATGAATAAAGGAAAGAGATACTTAAATGAAACAAGACATATGATATAGATTATATTTCGACAAAATATCGTTATGAACGAACTTTACAATGCTGCGGTTACACGTATTAAATACCCGTAATATGTAAATATTCCATACGACGAAAAGAGTTACTTCGCACAATATCTTTAAGAAACTCTTTTCGTCGGATGGATCGTATAGTAAAATTTAAATATAGAACAAGATAATAAAAGCTTTGAATGACACTAGCATACTAAAATGTATGGAACCTTATGAAAAAAAATGGATGGCTGAATTCGTTTAGCGATTCATCATCATCATCATCGTTTAGCGATTGATAAACTATATTACAATATTATTTATAATTAGCAATATTTTACATTGTTAAATTAATAAATATGTTATGAACTATAGTACTGATGGAGTGCGATATACTCAAAAAGCTCCAGTGTAACCGCAGCTTAAGAGTTTATATTTGAATGTTGGCAACACTGTATTTCTATATCATTGGCCAGTTAACTGTCATGTATGTATATTAATTTCGTTTTTTAAGTATAATGAACACTAGCTATTGTGGCATTAAATCATGATACTTTTGATATATAAAACCGTATAAGTATTGTACGTTTATTGGCAAAATAAAATGAGTATTTTGTAAATACGTTTTTGTCATCTGCCGCCAAATGCTATGCAGTGTTGCCAACATAATTAGGAAATCTTTTAAATTGCGTTCAAGTCATTAAAGATATTCTTAATCTTAATTAATAATTCGCAGCAAAATAAAAGATTTTTAATTTAAAATTAATTTAATGTAGATTATTATTATTTTCCATTGAACCAATATTTGGTATACTTTATGGAATTAAAAATGTTTATTAAATTTAGCTAATAGTTAATATGGACAAAAATTATGAATAAATAATTGTTTTTTTCGTAAAACATTTTAGTTACCATAAATGCGAGATTTAAAAATGTTAATGCATTTATTTAATATGATAGGATGATTATGAATGTAAATAATAAAATTATTTTGGACGTATGACATTAAATTGTTTGTTTTTTTTTCTTAAAAATAAAATAACATTTATTATGACATATGGATAATATATAGTTTTTACAACTAAAATACATTTCAATAGGAATTGTGACTAGATATTTAACTTAGGCAGTAGTACCCGATTAATAGTGCCTTTAAAAATGTGACAAATTACTCAATAATAAAACTGAAGCCAGATTTTTTTTTCAATTTTTCACCTTGAAATGTCAAATTTAGTTATGATGAAATTTAATGTTTTTTTTTTAATACGAGGACGATATTAACTCTTTATCCACACCAAACGACTAATGTTAACTATCACAGTGCCTTTCTCAATTCATTTTTCTCTTTTCCTTCTTATTTACTTCTATTCTCTAGTCTTTTAAAAAAATGCACAAATATTTGAAACATGCGCTCTACGCACTTAAAAGTCTTAACAGACTAGACTGGTCAGTATCAAAGTAAAATTGCTCGAAGGATTAAAGTTGGTGCGTGATCCTGTCTATTTATTGTTGAATATCTTTGAATCAGACGTGAAAACTTTGTTCATTATATTCTTATCCAAAGGTAGAATAGACATTAGACTCTTTTTTTTATAACAGAAGGGGGCAAACGAACAGCGGGAACACCGAAGTGTTCAACGACGACCATGGACATCAGCAATACCAGAGGAACCGAAGATACGTTGCCGACCTTTGAGGTGGTGATAAGCTCGCTCTTAATTTCCTCTTAATTTCATTTAATACCGATCAATCGACGAAAAAGGTTTTTTTTTTGTTTCTACGGACTGATCGGACCTAGTTGAATAAAAAAAAATTTTTGGACTGCCTGATCGGCAGGCATACACCCATTAAAGTATGATAAATATAGAACGACTACTAGGACCATAGGTTTGTGCATTCTTTTAAACATTAGGCGGACCGACAATGACATTCAAACTGGCGACTTACAATCAGTCTCTTATACTTGAAAAACCTTTATTAAATAAAAAAAAAACACGATTAAAATTTTCGACGAATCAAAATTGTGCGTTATTATTTGAAATTGCCCGCACGTATTAAATATTTAATTTCTACATATTGTATAGAACTTTAGTATGGATGGATTCAAAATAAGATATACATCAGCGTAATAAAGCGGTAAAATATTTTTAAATTTAAAATGGCTGCGTATATTCAAGAATCTCAGTTTGTGTTTAATTTTGAATTATCTGGTTCCAATACAACTTTAATTTTAATAATTTAAAAACCTTATTAGTTATTACTTGAGCTTATTTAACTACAACTTTCCTTATACATTGGAATAATTAACTAGATTTAACATACGAGAACTATTCAATACCTTTAAATGTATGAAAAATGACCTATAGACACAAAGTTACCTGACCTTGTGATAGCGATATCGCTGTATTTGTCAGAAAATATAGAAATTAACCTAAAAAAAAATTAATAAGGCATGAGAAAAAAGAAAGACTATATGACAACATGAATCTGACAAGGACTTTATATCTTTTTATAGTATTGATAGAGCGCGCCTGTGTTGTATTAAACTTTAATGTCACTTTTGCTTATTAACCGTGAGTTTCTGAGACCAAAATCCACGTTTATTGTCATCTCTGTTATGTCAAAGATAATGACAGGGATGACGATAGAGATTTTGGCTTCAGAAACTCTATGAGCCAGATAATGTCGCACTATAGATGTTTTTTACTGATAAACATACTATATAATATGAAATATTAATACATATAGATAGACATTGATACATAAGAAAGATATCACGTTATATTATCGAGTTCTAAAAAATATATTTATATGTATATTTCTAGATTAAGCTGTCTAAAGAGCTAAGTTAAGTTACTTTATCAAGTTAGATAATTGAATACAAATGCTATCGCTTAGATTACACGTGAGATGATTTTACATTATGTTACATAAGTAAATACATAATTGTATTAAAGTATGCAGAAATGTTCGTAACTAATTTACTTGACTTTTACTAAGTTAATATAAGTATATAGGTATAACTAGAAACACTAAAAGCACTATCCAAGTATGTACTATACTTGACTAGACGTAAATGTTAATTGGCTAACCGTGGATTTCCGAGTCCAAAATCTCCGTTTAAAACATATAGCTATCTCTGTTTTCTCAAAGATGAAAGACAGAGATGATGATATATTTTGGTGTCAGAAAACCACGGTAAATCAGCCGAACAGTCTTTAACTAAGTAAATTATCATAGACGTGTTTAAAACTGTCTTGAAATTACAATACAAATTATTATTTAAAAAAAAAACATAAAATAACTTAATATATCTTAACATACTAATAATAAATTGTGCGGATAAAAGACACCAAGATTATCGATTTTTTTTCTATTATAAATATCGATTTTTTCACATAAAAATCGATTTTAAACAACCATGTTCACGTACCAAAGATCAAGCATTCTAGTAAGAAATCATAGAATGTTTGGATGATATGTTAATTGATATCGAATAAAATAAAGCTTAATGGAATGATATAAAATATTTTAGGCATAATATTATTTTTATACATTAGACTTAAACTTTCGTGAGAAATTATTGTAAAATAATTAGGAACAGCTGAACTCACGTAATAGTCCGGTGACGGCAGCGACTAGTTTCGGACCAATCAGAGTTCCATCTTCATGGCGAGTGTTAAGAGTTCTTCGCGGTCACGGCGTCTCTCTCAGTACAAGACGGCAAGTTTTATATTAACAGTTTAAAACCTTATAAGTTAATACTTGAGTTAACTTAACTACAACGGTCCCTATACATTGGAGTAATTACCTAGATTTAATATACGCGAACTATTCAAGACCTTTAAATGTAGGAAAAATGACGTAGAGTCACACAAATTTATTTGACCTGGTGATGGCGCTGATATCGCAGAAAGTACAGAAATTATCTAAAAATATTTAAAGGCATGGAAACACAAGAAAAGATAGCTAAAGTCTGACAAGGACTTTTTATGTAGTTCTCTGAGACGCGATGCGATCGTGAAGAATTCTAAATAAACACTCGACCTAAAGATGAACTTTCAACAGGTCGACGTGAGTTTGATAGTTCCTTATTATTTTAATATCACTATATCACCTACTTTTAAATATTTTTACGCATCTACTCTTTTAGTATACTTGAGTAAATGTTTGATGATATTTTAGAAAAAACTAAACTTACATTTTCGACAAACATAAAATGACGTGGACTAGATGTGAGATATAATCGTTTAAAGCAGTCTTTATCTAACAATTTAAGAGCAAACTTACAACCATAATTTGTAAAGAGACAACGACAAATATTTAATGTGCATTTATATAAGAATTAACTGTACTAATATAAAAATTACGTAAATATAAAATGAGATTTCATTAAAAAGAAGAGCACCATATATTTATTAGTCAGAAATTTTCATTGTCCGAAGACAATGTTACAAAAATTAAAACAATACGGATGCCAAAATGATGACACAAGAAATTTTTTTGGAAAATTTTTCAATCATTTTTCACAGCAAATCATTCAAAAATAATTTCAAATACACACAGATAGATATATTTTTGAAATAGACAACGTTCTGAATCCCGATCCGACTTGAAGGACCAAGAGGTGGTCCTTCAAGTCGGATCTTTTTTTTAACAACATACCCTCAATTATAAAAAAAAACCTGAGAATTTTATGAATATAAGAAATAAACAATTTTTAAACTTATCAACTTCAATATGTTACATATTTTAGACTAACAGAATATTGAAATAAATAGTTATATCGTAATGTTTTTAAACTGTCAACAAATGTCCTATAAAAATTAATTGATAATTTTCTATTGTTAGAGTGTAATTCGGTTATATTTGGCATAACTTCTCGGCATAAATAAACATTGTAACACAAGTAAATATACATCTATGGAATATGACTTCTAAATATACATTTGGAATTTATAGACTAGATTATAAGACAAGAATCAGTCGGGAAAGTTTCATGGGGCCGTTTGAAGCCAAGCGCGCAGACCTTTAGCCCTTTCAGTCACTCCATCGGATGTCTCATTTATCATTGGATCAGGCTGTGAAGTTAATCATTCTTTATGTAAAGAACCTTATTTTTTTATATCATAAGTTGGCAAACGAGTGACCGGTCACCTGAAATCGCTGAAATAGCGAAGTGACCGTTGCCCATAGACATACGCTATTGCATATGCGTTGCCTACCTTTAATCGACGGAGGAGAGGATGCACAGAAAGATAATATTTTCCCTTTCCATGCATTCTCTCATCCGGAAAGTCCACTTCCACTTCCCATCCTTTCCTTATAAGAAAAAGGGTGGGAAGGGCAAGAGGACTAAATTAGGCCTCCGAGACGCACACTCATCAGACTGTACTTGAGGCCTGTCTTCTGTGTAGTCGTGGTATTTCACCGGGAGAGCCGGGACAATTCCTGCGAACATGTTAAAGCTCGCTCTACCACTGTTGGAGAGACCTTTACTTCTACAAAATATAGTTTTTATATAATAAAGTTATAACTTACTGCGGATAGAGTCATCCTAGTCTGCGATGTAGTTGCTACATTGTAGGAACTGGTTTCTGGTGAAGCTAAAACAACGAGTAAATAATTAAAGACATTTTTTTAAATTATGAAGTATTTGAAGGTAAATTCCTAATAAGATGTCATTTCACTAACTTCAATTTAAAGTTTGATTTTTTTAAACTACTGGCTATTAAGAATAAATATATACTAAAATGTCGACGCAGGGAAATAACATTTTGTTTGAATTACAAAGTCTTAATAATTCGTGTTATAGAATATTTGAGAATTCAGCGGAGAGAAACGACATTATTCTTCGATTTACTAAGGATTTCAATTCATCATCATCAGCTCACTATACACGTCCCCAATGAGGGGTTCGGAGCCTGCCCTAAGTAAAGGGTGATTAGGCCATAGTCAACCACGCTGGCCAAGTGCAGGTTGGTTGACTTCACACATATCTTTGAATTACTTCTCAGATATGTGCAGGTTGCATCAAGATAAGATTTTCCTTCACCGTAAGAACGTCGGATAAATGTACATATATAAATCGAAAAACACATTGGTACATGGCGGGATTCGAACCCAGGACCTGCAGATTACAAGTGAAGTGCTTTAACCCCTGAGCCACCGACGCTCTTAAAGGATTTCAATTTTTAATAACGCCATCTATCTGAATCACAATTGACTTACCTGTGTTTGGTCTCCGGGCGTCCAGTGCTCGCCAGATGTCGCGCACGTCGGCGTGCAGCGCGCGCAGCGAGCGCAGCACCGCGCCGCTCGTCTCCAGCCCCGCGACACCCTCCACAACATCCCCGCCCTCGCTGCCTGAAGATGCTTCACTTGTCGTCGTCTCCTGTGTCACCAACAAACAATCAGTCTTCGAAAATTAATGTCTACTTGAATTTGTCACTTCACATACCGGTGAGAAGCAGAGTAGATATTTAATCTCAAATAAAATTAATCTTTATATGGTTGAATGAAAGTTGAATTTTAATTGCATGTCTTTTTAGCAAGTGTTAAAGACGTGTACTAAACCTTGTTTCAATCGTATAAAGCTCAATTTTTATTTCCGATAAAAAAAATCAATTCTGTTCTCCGCACAGATCTATATTAAGGAACCCAAGATATGTCAATGTCAATCTAATAAATTGAAAACAATGGCAAAAAAAAAATCAAAACAATAATAAACCAATATCAGAGATCAATAAAGCTTACCACCAATGCAAAAAATAAGACAAATGATTGAACACGAAATTAGCAAAGAAATAGAAAACATCTAAACGCAAAAACACGACGAACGAATTGAAATGAAGAAAGAAAGCCAAGTAAAGAACAATTTACCCGCATTCCTAAAGATAAACAACAAAATATGATGAACATAAGCATAACCAATGGCCAAGAAATTCAACGAGAAATGAAACATTGAAGAACGAAGCGAACCATTCACAACTAGTAACAACTTTAGTCGAATCCAATAGAAAATAAATATATATTTACATATTTAATTTCATTGAATTGGAGTAGAGTTGATATTGTATGGACCTGTATGAGAGGGGGGTGCGTGTGTGGGGTGGGGTAGGGGAGGTCCTCAGCGAGACGACGCAGCGCGCGCTCGATGTGCCGCAGCCGGATCTCCTTCTCCCCGAGCAAGGCGCGCGCGCGGTGCAGCGCCACCTCCAGCTCCGTGCTCTCGCGGTCCTCCTGTACCATATCTCTATTTAACCGTACCTTTACTTTACTAACAACACTAGTGTTAGACCATCGAATACTATAAGTATGAATTAAATGTATCAAGCATGAGTTTAGAGTATGATAGTTTGTCCTAGCTGCTCCCGTGCTTCATCCATAAAAAAATCCATTCATTTTTGTTTAATTTAAATGCTCAAGTGACGACGAAGGACCATTGGCTGAGAATTACCGTTACCATGACAACCAATCCATCTTTAGCTACTATTGGTTCGCATTATTTGTCTCTTTCGCGCATAACATTTTTTCCGAATATTAACCCCCTAACTTTACTGGCTTGAAAATATAAAGCCCAAAGAATGTCGGACTTATAGGGCTTTTTATAACAAAAAGAATTTGTCAAAAAAAATGCCATGATTGCTAAGATCCTGTTTTTAAAGAAGTGTATGTGTGAAGTCAATCCGTAGTGAGCCAGCGCGATTGACTATGACCTAGTCACCAAACTTCGGGTTGACTCAGTGGGGAAATACGGACTTGATGATGAATGACTCACAAAAATATAATATATAAGATGAGTATATATGCAGTATACATACCGATGTGGCGCGATGCGGGGAGAGGTTGGCACGCGAGTCACGCAGCGCTGCACGACGTCGCTTGAGCACTGCGCGCGCACGTCGCATACCTTCGCGCTCCACAAGTGCGCGGTGACGTACAAACTCCAGCTCGGGGGTATTCGCTGTATTCACCGCACCTTTACATATCAATATATTTAAAATACTATCGGCTCTATTAAAAAAAACATCAAAAACACAAAAACAACGAGAGGTACATGTTTTTTTATTCAAGTACTAGATGTCGCCTGCGAATCCGCGCGGTATTGATAAATTTTGCCTGTGTTCTTCCAGACTGTGTACCATATCTATGCCAAATTTCATCAACATCCGTCAAACTGTTCTGAAGATCAATAACAAACATCCATACATCCAAATTTTCGCAGTTATATTGTAATAGTAAGAAGTATTTCAACGGTGGATACCTAGTCGAAAGTCTCAAGGTCAAAACATTATTTTTAAAACATCACTAATTAAATATATTAATTTGTAATGTTATTAATAAGTATACCTAATTCGGAGAAGGGATATCGCAGGCTGTACGCAGGCTGGCAGGCTAGGTCTGGAAACTGATCTTCTAAGTCGTCCAGCTTGCGGAGCTGCTGACGAAGAGATTCCAACGGGCTGGACCAGCCTTCGCCGCGTCTGTATATAATATACTGCTATTTTGAATGTTATCTGTATGTAATAAATAAGGAATTTATGTTATGTAAATACATACTTGGGTGAATAATTAAGTCTAGATGTGGAGGCAGATTTTAATCTTGTGAAACATCGCCGACGACCGTGACCTATGGATTTATTTTAAATTTATTTACTTACACTTAAATTTTACTTTAAACATTTAAGAATGAAAATAAAAATAAATTAAGAATACGAAATTATTTAAAAATTAATAAATATACCATTAATAGTTTCTTTGGGCTTTTCGTCTGCTGTTGTCGCGTCTGATGAGTCTTGGTAGTCGGTTGTAGCTCCTGCAAATTATTGTATCGTAATAACTATATTCCATTTATAATATATGTATATTAATTAGCCTACACGATGCTCTACATCTATGCCAAATATCAGCGAGATCTATGCATCTGTTCTGGAGATACCTTCCAACAAATATCCATCCATCCATCTAAATTTTTGCTTTAATATATATTTTTTTTAATATTAGCAGATTTTTGTAAATTTACTAATATTTCTTTCTACCATTCCAACTAAACTCTGGGCTTGTGCTAGGATATGGTGTTACGACAATAGTCGAATAGTGGGATTCGAACCCCCGACCTCGTGATCGGAAATCCGTACCTCTAACCATTAGGCTATTGGCGCTTAAATAATAATATTAGTAAGATATATCGGAAATTCTGTGTTTTGTCCTTCTAAACCATTTGCACCATTTCATGTATGTATGACAGTGATGTGCTAATATTTTGTTTACTACAAATAACCATAGATGGCGTTAGTGTCATATTTGTTCCAAAAAACAGGTAATAAGTAAAGTAAATAGTTGTATGAATATGTATGAAGTCTTACATTACCCGCATCTCTATCGCGGTCGCGGTCGCGGTCGCGGTCAGAGCGCGGCGGCTCGCGGAATGCGACTGCGGTGCGTCTGCGCGGTGCCTTCGCCCCCGATGTTAGTGACGACTCCGCTGATTGTAAAATCTAGAAATAAAATAAATCAAACTTATGCAAGTATTTTTTTTTGTAAATTTACTAATATTTCTTTTATCAACTAAAGTCTTAGCTTGTGCTACATGATCCTAGTCGAATGGCGGGATTCAAACCCCCGACGGTGATCTGAAATCCGTACCCTTAACCATTAAGCTATTGGCGCTTTATTAGTATTAGTCGTTTCAACCTTTTTATAGGTTCAAGGTCATCTGTTATGCATAGTTCTCTCAACCCCTCCCACATAACATAGTATAAAAAGCGTTTCGTATTATGTACCGAGCCAAGATATTTGAAAAGCTCAATAGCTGTGTTCCACTTAAATTAAGTACAGAATAAAAATCGAATAAATCGTTTCTTAAGAGTTGTATGCAATTAATCCATTAATTTTAGATTTTAGTTCATTGGATTAATCAAGCTGTAGACTGGAAAATTTGATATTTAAATCACACCGCTCACACTTATGTTGAAACATGTTGCCTTGTATATTCAAACATAATGAGAGAAAATGTTTTTATACAAGTTTTTCAACAGTGAAAACCTACATATACAAAGGTATTTTTGCAGTTACTTTTATAAATATGTAGCACTTACGTTAGTCTTTAGTTTCCATTCATTGTTATTATCAGATTTATGTGCGTTGCTCTCTGACGCGGATGTTTCATTGTCATTGCATCTGACAGTGTTATTATTGCGTATAACTCTTGGCTCTGTCTCGATCACCACGCTTATACTCTTCTCATTCGCCTCTTTACATCTGTATGGAACATTAATATCATTCAGTCATTCAAATAATCATTCGATCATTCAATTACTAATATTATAAATCTGAATGTTTGTGTATGAACGAACAGCTGCATTTCGATTTTGATAAAATTTGACATAGATGTAGAACATAGCCTGGAAGAACATATAGGCTACTAATTAACTTTTTTTTACATTTTCGGGCGAACTGAATAGCTGCCTTCAGCTAGTCTTATAAATGCGAATATTTCCATGGATGGATGTTTGTTACAAGATGTCTCCAGAACAAACTGCATGTATCTCGCTGAAATTTGACATACATTTAGAACACAGCCTGGAAGAACATATAGGCTATTTTTTTTATTCCGCGTGGACTGAGTCGCGGGCGACAGCTAGTCAAACAACAAGATTATCTTACTTCTCAATAGATTGCGTAGCTTTATGTGAGTTTGATTTCTCAGTTTCGGAGCCGGTGGTCATGCTCATCTCACGGCGTTTGTTGCGACGTTCTATCGACATCTGAAATTCAAAAAAAGGGAATCAATTTGCATAGCAATTCATCTAAAGCAACTACGAAAAAGCAAACACGATCCATCTCTTTGAATACAACATATCAGAACGATTTGCGACACCTCAAATACAAATATATATTTTGTCACTAGAGGAACTAGCCAAAAGGCATTCGATTGACAATAACGATCGATAAATCACGCGATTTTACCGTGTTAATTCTATATATAATTGATATTCGTTATGAAATCGCTTCGGAGCGAATGTACTTTGTTTACTTCTCAGGTCGACTCAGGCCTAGTCTTCTTCTTGTAGCTCTACAGTCCTTTGTGGCCTTGGCTTGGTCCAGCAACTTTTTCCATTTAGGTCTAACTTTGGCCACGGACTTTCAATTTGCTATGCCCACTTTTTTGCGTCTAAAGCCTAGTCACCCCTAACTTAATATAGGTTCCCAATTATATGCTCATTTAATTTTCACAGGCGTTAAGTGGTAAGAAATGGTTACCTTAACGTCGTGCTTGAGTCGTGCATACTTCTCCTTGAGACAGCGGTACTTGTCTGCGAGCGCGCGGTCACGCTCGTGCGGGGAGGTGCGCGCGCTGCGTGCTGCGGCCGCGCGCTCGCCCGCCAGACGCGCGCGCACCTCCTCCACGTGGCACGCGTGCTGACCGCGCAGTCTCTCCACCTACCACAACCAACTACTTCGTTAACTGGACATCACAGTTTTATTTTATATACAACTGTATATGTGCGCCAATTTAACACCTAAAATGCCTCAGTAGAAATAGAAAAAATCACAGGTGCCCCTACTCGGCGCTTATATGCAGACAGCGATCCGGTCACCGGTGCCCGGAGTGGCGTTTAACGTGTTAATAAGTCAATTTTGACGCAAATTATCATTCGTACTTCAAACGTATTGTGAATCGAATTCAGTCGTTTGGAAGAATCCATGTTTTTTGTTTGTTTTCGAATATCTTTAGTGTTTAAAAAAAGAAATCACCGATGCAATATTGTTATATATTGCTTCACATTATTACAAATTAAAAATTTCATACAAAACACAATATTATATTGATACAAAGTATTAAAATATAATTTACCTCAGCTCTATAGTCGTGTCTTAGTTCAGTAATCCTTGTAGTGTGCTCTTCTCTCAAAGTCTCTATAGTAGCTCTGTTCTCTTCTATCATTCGCGTTCTCTCTCTATTCAAACTCATTTGTAATTGTTCTCTCAATTCACAAAGAGCTCGTTCATTATCTGTTAAAAATAAAACAAGCATAATAATAAATATCCCTCTTTGAATATAGAAATATTGGTATAACTTTTTTGGCCCCGGGGACATAAAAACTAAAGTACAACATATGAGTGCCCAATGTTAAAATGTCATAAGATACTTGTATTATAGCTGTCTTGACTTGTGTGGCTGGTATAAAAATTATACCAAATTTTCTAACATAACTAAACACTATTATAACTAACCAGGCCAAATAAATTTATCTGACTATAAGTATAAATATTTCACACATCATTAGAAAAATATCTCAAAGTAAATTGATACGAAAGATTATGGATAATAGGACATAGAAGAAAACAGAAGTGGCCAACAAATTGTCTAATATGTAAGTTCGATGTGTAACATACCAATTTCCAAACTTTCAGTTTCATCCGCCAATTTAATCTTATAATCTTCCCGGAGCCGCGCCATGTTCTCTGCATGTTGTGTCTCCGTAGCCTCCACTTGCTCCTGATGACGTTTCTCCAGCTTGTTGAGTGCATCTTGCAACATTTGTTTGTGATTATGTTCCGCTGTAGATAACTCCTGGAAATATATTTAAATACTCAATAAATATACTAAAATTTAAATTAATAATATTACGGTTATTACTGAAGAAATATTCATAGCTAAAATTATTGGTTTCTTATAAGTTATGTATAAAACTGTGTACAATTAGAGAAACAGGCTGTATTCCACCTTAAAAGCGTAAATCGTTTGAACATTTTGTATGCCAAAGTTCATTCATTGGCTCACTACTAATTGCTTAATATTATGCCGTCGTTTGCGCAACTTACTGCTACGAAATTGTTTATTTTGTAAGAAAGGGTGGAGTTTGTCTTGTTGCAATGAACAAGGCAAATATAATTTTAGTAGAACACTGCTAAATTCTCTGACAGTACATTAATAGTTACTAGTAAAAAAAATTAACAGAACAAAAATAAAATTAAAGAAGAAACTGTAAGTTAACTTTTTAAACTAAATATTAAAGAAGTATCTTACCTCTTCCATGTCTCTTTTATGTCGGTCTGCCTGTTCATTAAGTCTTATTCTCTTTTCAGTCAAAAACTTTTGTTCCGCTTCTTTTATCTCCTCCTGTAACTCCGCTCTCATTTTCTTCTCTTTAGCGGACCACTCCATTCTTATTAACTCCAACTCTTTTTGCAACGATAATTCCAATCGTCTTTTTTCATCGTTTCTATTTCTTTCTATAAAATCTCTGGTACCCATATCGGGTATTAAGGGAGATTTAATTGGTTTTGAACAACTTTCTTCCTGGGTTTCAAATTGGTACACTACGACTACATTATCTGAACTACTTTTGCCTTGTGATATAATAACTCCGTCTAATCTAGGACTCGTTTTACCTAGACTCATTGAATCCGATGATTTATTCTGTGTTGTCAATTTTAACGGTTTAAATGTGGATAGTGGTGAAAAGTTTTTGCCAAAGTCCAACCTTGACGATCTATCAGAACCCAAACTAGGTGTGGGAGATAATTTGATTTGAGTTTTTATATCTTTTGGTATATCAATGCTATTAGATCTAGGTGTTGTTTTAACTTCGTCTTCTCTGTTAGATTTTCTCGAATCCTCAGAATCGGAATGTGTGAATTTAGATTGTTTAGACAGGAAATCTAATTTCGGGACTTTTATCTGTGGAATAGGCATGTCTGAAATTCTCTGAGGTCTAATCGGACTTGGCTCTGACGTCTTGGAATGATTGTGCAATGAATCCTCACTTTCTTTGGGACTTTTCTCATTGTCTATGCTTTTATCGGATTTATCTTTCTTTTGACTTTCGTGGCTTTCATTCGATTCATCAAGATCATTAAGATCGATGTTAGCGAATTCTCTATCAGGAGAATCGATTGACGTTTCCGAATCTATACTTTCCATTAGATTTATAGATATTTTATTCTTCTGTGGTATCATAGGTGATCTGTTGAAATATTTTAATCTTAGTAATTATAAATGAAAATGTTTGGATGGATGGATGGATCTAGCTGAAATTTGGTATAGATGTAGAACATAGTCTGGAAGAACATATGGGCTACTAATTAAGTTTTTTTTAATACCGTGCGGGCGGAGTCGCGGGCGACGACTTATATAAATATAGCTCACAAAACAGTGCAAAGTTGCCTAAAAAAGATACATAGATGCATCAGAAATTGTTAATTTTAATAATTTGTAACTACGTCATCTTACCTAGGTCTACCTTCCTTATCAGAGCCAGGTTCTTCAATGTTCACTGGAGCTGAGTCTCCGTCTCCCCGACGTACTAGATCGGATATCTTCTGGAAGTTCTTTTGGAATAAATCAGGTTTTATATAGTCAGAAGGGGAGGGTTTTAAAAGACGTCTTCTCGGTGATTTGTCACGACTATCCCCATCTGTAATTACAAAGAGGTTCAGTTTATACGACTCTGTCTAATTTACCTTTAGTCTACTTTTTAAATGGTTGGTATAGGCCCTTTATTGCTTGAAAAAAAAAAAGAACTTTTGTTTCGAATTTCTTCCAAATCAGGTAGGATCTTGTAGAATTACTTGATAGAGATCATACATACATCCATCAAAAACTTTGGCATTTATAAAAAAGTAAAATATTTATACAACTTACCAAATGAATCTTTCTCGGAGCTACTCTTGGGTTCTCTAGGACTTTCGGCTATATGTGGCCGAGGTGGTAAAGGAGGTCTAGCTACTAAAGGCGAGAGATGAACATTATTTAACATTGTCGGCACAGGGGATGGACTTGGTGATAAGGGTACTGGTGAAGGGACAACAGGTGATGATGGGATAATAGGTGAAGAAACAAGAGTTGATGGTATGGACACAGGAGGAGCACTTATAATAGAACTCTGGCCTTCATTTTGATCTGATGAACTGTTAGATCCTGGACTAACAGTAGGTTCCGGAACATTTTCTAATTTAAATCTGGAAATTAATTTAAAATTGATAAAAACTAAAAAAGAAGTACAATCATGTATATTTAAAAATAAATAGTAAATTATTTTCTTTTTTAAATATGCGTATCTTTAGTGTTAATTTTTTGCATTTTAATTATTTAGTCTTCAATGCCGAAACACTAGAAACAATATTCTCTTCCTTCTCATAATCTTCTATGAGAAGAAAGAACGTTTTTGTATATTTCAGAAGTGAAAACCCAAGGTCTACCAAACTCTTACCTGACACTTTTTTTATCTTCATCAAAACTGTAAGTTTGCTTTGGTCTTCCCAAAATCGCACTCTCATGTTTTCTTTGGAAGGAATCTGATTTTTCTCTTAGTATACCTTTCGGTGGATCGCTTTTAGTTACAGAATCACCTGGTAGCGACTTCTCTGTATCTGGACTTGGCAAATCTGATTTACAAAGCCTCATAAACATGTTTCCTTTACCTTAAAAAAACACGTCAAAGTAAATATGGTTACATAATAATATTTCTTCTATCATTCGAACTATGCTTTAGGCATGTGCTAGAATATGGTTTACAATAGTCAAATGGATTCGAACTCTCGACCACATGATTGGAAATCCATACCATTAACCATTAGGTTATTGGCACTAATAAATTACTTCTAATAGCTATAAGTTATTGACTGAACTACAAAATATAGTTCAGTAGTGGAATGTATGGAAAGTAGTGGTAACAAATTAATTAATAATAATTTATATAAATTTTATTACCTGAAAATGGCAACCCCTTGTCTATCTTGGCAGTTGATAAGAGTGGGCTGAAGTTTTCCTCTTCCGGACTACTAAGTACATGCATCTTAAGGTCTATAATCTCTGATTGTTGTTTAAACAGCATTTTTGGCCTTTCAAAAGTCGGTCGACTAAACAAATCTCTATCTGATGTATTCCTAACTAAAGCTGGTTTAGGAGAAATTGGACCTTCAACGCTACGTCTTAAAGGCGATATTCTTAAATCACTCAGTTTTTTGTCTAGCCTAGATAGAGGGGCGAGTGGAGGTCGTCCGAGAGGGGTTAAGCGACGTTGGGCGGCGTTCACAGCATCTTTAACATCGGACGGATGATTTTCGCTGTCCGTTGATAGATCGTCATCATCACTTTCAACTTTTGTTTCAACACGTTCGAGATTTTTCGTATTGTCCTCAGAAGTAGGTAGTTCCTGTCGAAATTAAAATAATATATACAATTGATTACAATAATCACAAGTGCTATTTATACTTTAATTTACTGATTAACTTAAGCATAAATATAACTTAATACTTACATAAATTATGGACAAACATTTATCATTTTAAGTAAAATAAAATATTAATTGTAACGAATTTTGAATTTGAAATCTAATCTATATAGCCTGAATGTACACTTCAGTACAAATAAAACATACTGACATTGAATGTGTTAATAATTCTACTTACCTGCACAGAAGCACAAGTATCATCATGCATTGAGGCATCTCTTGCCTTCTTCACCAGCTCCCTATAGACTGTATCTAAAGGATGTTCCCATTGTGTATTTTTTGTGTCTTCATTATAATAGTAATGAGTTTGGAGCTTTTCATCAAAACTGTACAACAAAAAAGTTAAGACATAAATGGGAACTGGGCAAATGGGAAACATTTCAATCACTAATACAATTTCTAATAAATTCATTGTCATTACTTTAAATTGAAAATCAATGTCTCACAATATCATTAACCAAACACCTAATAAATTACAAAAATAAAAATCCTTCAATATACACTTATGTAAAGCTCTGTATATATTTTAAATAATAAATATACAAATCTTAGATACAAAAGGAGAAAACTTCACTAACTATGCCTTCCAGGGAGGTGGCAGAGCTTGCATAAGACCTTCCCGCGCCAAAGGCAGGAGATGGCTCTCACTTTCTGGATCAATACCCAATTGTTGGGCATATTCTGATATTTCTGTAATAAAACATTAGAATTCAATCAATATTACGAAATTTAGGAATCAAATACTACTTAAAAAGCTTGTCTCTCTATCCAAAATACATTCTTTGGATTACAAAGAAATGGAGATATTTGTAAGCATCAAAAACTACAAATAAATATTAAAAATCACACGGTTCCCATCAGTATTAATTAAACAGACCCCTTCATTTTTTACGTGTTCTTCTATTTATTTCTGAGTAAAATAAAATATTATAAAATAAACAATACAAACCATCGGCCGACGGTTGACTACTTTCATCGAATATTTCACGACACACTATAGCTGACGGTGACGACATTTTAAATCATATTTTATTTCACTGCTCGCATAAAGCTTTTTCGAAAATATGAAAGAGATTGTTATTTAATAAAACTGAATTTTCCATAATTTAAATAATTACGACAATAATCACCAAATCCGGGGCCGACGAAAATTTTGACATTACTCTATAATCTTTGATTAAAATTAAAAAAATCCGCTCTTATTGGATTTTAAACATAATGAATGTCTATGATATACCAAATCCTATGTTTTACTTTTTCGTTTATCCAATGTTTCTCAACATCCAAATGAATGCGAATTTGTGTTAGATTTTGCTTCTATCAAGAAAATATTACATATTTTACTTTTGTTTTCTGGATTTTTCAAAGTCAAAGAGGAAATAAAATAAGAGACGGGACTCTTGATTAATTAGATACACAAACGGAGAATAAAAATTGTCATTTTCAATGCTAGCAATATTATGAACAAGTCTACGTTGCTACCAACCTAAAAAAAACAATAAGTCAGTTTCCTTTTTGACGTTTGAAACAGGGGGTGGAAACTTATAAGAAGGACGATTTGTATGGAAAGTGGCGCCACCTTTTAAATCTTGGTAAACATCATTTCATCTCATGGCTAAGAAGAAGAAACATCATTTGTATCATCGAGACATGTGTTATCAAACCGCTACGTTTTTTCGTATTTCTATTTCTGTTCTTGTATTCTTAGTTAAATGTTGTTTCATTCATTTTGTTTTTAATTAAAATGTGTTTTCGTGAAAAACGACGTTGTTCAAAACTGTGTTTTAGATGGACTGATTATGGTAAGTTACAATTCAATAAAAATTTTCATGTTATTCCCATACGTCAGACTCATTTGAACACTTAAATATTTTCGTATTTTGGTGTAGTTTTTAGCACCACAGTGATTTATACTTACTTTGATTTATAATCATATTGAATGGTGCCCTACTTCTAATACATTTTACATAACAGTTCCTATACTTGACATGAAATCACATTCTGTTTGTTTGTTGTAGGTGCATATATACACGGTTTCCCCCTTCCTGCGAGACGGTCAGTGATGTTTAGAAAATGTGTGCCAATCACTGGAATTATAGAGCCATAAACTGATGTGTCTGAAATTAGTAGGTGGGTCCATGTGTGTATATGTAAAAAATATATTTTTTTATTTGTAATTTTTTATTGAAAAGAAAAATTTGCTTGCCTATGTTGTAAGAGAATATGTTCAGAGTGTTTAAACTCGCAAATAACTACAAATTGCCAGTTGCCAGATTGCATGTGACTGAAAATATTTTGGGGTTTGGTTTTAATTACAGGGTATGCATTCTTTTGTAACCGCGCTATACTATTCATTACCATAAATGTAATTTTCAAATATATATATATAATAATATAATTTTTAATATATATATATATATATATATATATATATATATATATATATATATATATATATATATATATATATATATATATATATATATATATATATATATATATATATATATATATATATATATATTAAAAATTATATTATTGGGTTGATATCTTGAAATTCATTAATGTATATGTACTTGCATATATTTAAAATTAAGTTATGTAGAAATATAATAAATATTGTACAAAAATTTAAAAATATTTTGTTTTTATTTCCCCAATAATATTAGGATCATTTTAATAGAGGTATTTCATAGAAGGCTACTTGATATCGGCTCACTATAATAATTACTGATAAGTGGGTATATTATTTTTGAACATTGATTTAATGTCAATTTTAACTTCATTAATTAGATTCCCACTTATCAGTTATTATTATAGTGAGCTAAATATGTGTGCCTAAGTATATAGGTACCAAAAAAAAAATTAGTTCACCGATTATACGCATGGAGCGCCACAATCGCCGTGGATCCACGACTTCGTGCGAGTTGCCCCTCTTTCTATAGTATACTTATTATACTCTTTGGTTTGAAAGTATTATTCGAGGAAAAATAAAACCATTTCGTTAATTGCAACTTTAATTTAATCTTCTGACTAAAGCGAACATATTTTAAGAACGCAACATAATGCTCACTGCTTTCGTAATAATACCATTATTGTTTAGTTCACCAACAAAATACCCCAACTTTGATAAATGCTTATTTGTTCCAGTTTGTTTATTTGATAGGTTATATTTTCTGATAGAACTGGAGTAGTAGTGTCACTCTCGTCGGAAGAAATAGAATAACACTGGAAAGAGATTAGCTCCTATCTGTTGGTAAAATATTTAGAAAATTGCTAACAAGGCAATATGTATTGAAGCAAAACAAATCGTCATCATCAAGCTCACTATACGGACACACTACTCCACGGAGGAGCTCGGAGCCTGCCCTCAGGAATGCGACTAGGTCTTATTCAACAACGCAGAGCCAGTGAGGGTTGGTTGACTTCACACATATCTTTGAATATATATGCAGTTGTATTCAATTTGTAATTACAGTAAGAATGTCGGATGGATGTTAGCAAGAAATTCGAAGAACGCATTACTATATAGCGGAGATCGTACCTGGATATGTAAAATATGATCCGGTCAAACGCCAACTGCACTGCCAACGCTCCAAATAGTCCCCTAATCCAAACTTTTCCTATCAAAACATTGCAAATGTACAAGTCATGATAAATATTATGTAATGTAAAAATAGAATACAATATTTAAGTTTTACTTCTCAAATAAATTCATAAAATTATCATGAACCTAAAGATTCCGCATATTAACACTTTTGTTACTACTATTCTCCATAGATGTTTAACCTATCGATTCCTTAACGAGACAAATAATGAGCTTAGGAGGTATCATTTTGGGGTAAAGTACCTGTGTTGAAATTTATATTACTTGTAAGAAAATTGTATACAATCTCTGTTTATTTTTTATTACTTAGTTCAAAAAAGTTTAAGCTATGTTATAAGTTGTGATATTTGTAAAATCCAAATTTAATAAATTAATTTTGATGTGAAACATCAAAATTGATTATATATAGTATAGCCGCACGTAAAACCGATTTCTGGCGTGGCGACGCATGCCGTGGCGACGCGTCGCCATGCTATACGATGGTGTATATATACAGTCTATATGCAGTAGTGTGTACGGTGTGGCGACGCGTCGCCATGCGCAATCGACTGTGCGATTCTCTCCCACTCGATCTGGCGTTAAGCCATCTTTCTCGCTACACTGAGCTCGAATACCTATAGTGTTTGTATTTAATGAAAATAAATGTTTATTCAATAAATAGTCATCGTTAATCAAAAATCGTAATATTTTATTTTATCATTATGACATATTTAGTTCCTATCACAATATATTCTTTTCTGCATATTACTTTTACAAAATAATGGCGATGTTTCACATCTGCCAGGCGTCCCGTGACGGCTCACATTTTTATTGTTTCATATTTTTCACTAAATGGTATTTTTTTTATCTTTTGTACTTAATACTTAATTCCCTATATTTTAGTATATTTTTATTTTCTGTACACTGCATTTCCCAATTTCGAGAAAATCTTATTATGCTAGTGTATATTTTATATTAGTGTCGAATACATATTTCTAAAAATTGACATATTATTAACATCAAACTAATATAAAACACTAAATCTATAGGTTACACATCTATATATATATATCTATAAAAGTGTTCGACGCGGATGACAGATATTAGGTAGATAAAACCAACATCAAATTTAAGTTTGTCATCATATATGCTAGTTTGGTCTCGTGGCCTTCCTTCCTTCCTCCTTCTTCTTCTTCTTCTTCTTCTTCTTCTTCTTCTTCTTCTTCTTCTTCTTCTTCTTCTTCTTCTTCTTCCTCTTCTTCTTCTTCCTCTTCTTCTTCTTCCTCTTCTTCTTCTTCCTCTTCTTCTT